GAGGTTTAACTTGTTACTCCTTTCAGGAGGTTTAACTTGTAACTTGATCCCACTCATACTCGCCTCCCGAAGGTGCGCTGGAATTCATGAGCTTGACGCAGACTATGAAACTTATTCATGAAACTTATTAATCCTTGGACCCAGTAGTAGTAGTTAGTAATAACAGAAATATCATCAGCAGCTGTTGCTGGAGAGGATTATGCCTTCAATCGTACGATTAGTCCCAGTAGTCTATAGAGGTATAGATATCTCAGTAAGCAAAATCAGCTGTTGGCCACATGATATTCATGCGGAGATAGCCACAATTTATTCAGTACTTGACGTAGAATCAACTTTTACTGGTTATGTACCATTCACCGTTGGGGGTCTATCCACTCAGAGCATGTGAACAAGTCACTTGTGCACTCGTCTCTCGAACATTCATGAAATCAATGAAATTTGTCCATTATTCTTTTTTTGATTTGGATACCTGGTTCGATAAGAAAAATCTCGTCTGCCATGGAGTGTGCTATCAGTCTATCCTTGGGCATGAAGATATTTGAACCCTCTGACAGTCCTAGTCCCATCCCGGTTGGAATGTGCCCAGTTTCAGATCTTGCTAACACCTGGTCGACGCAATCGTTGACTGTCGCAAACCACTTACTCTAAAACCGTATTCAGATGACGCTCTTGTTCGTTTCCCGTACGTAGCGTACATAGAAGAATCACATGGATCCATTAGATTAGAGTAAGATGATATTTATACAGCCAATCCTGTTTTTATCGTGTCCGGGTGATTTTGTCCATTTTCCAAGTGGTTCCCGTTCGCTCGGTGATAAGTATGTTGGTATTTTGCAATTTTTGGTTGGTCAGATCGACGTTTATCGTGTCCATCACGATTTCAATTCCTGAAGAGGTAGAGTTTTGGTGAAGATCAAACTTGACTTGTTGGAACTCACAACCGGAGAAAAATAATATGTATATATACACACAAATGAATGATATAGTTTTCCAAGTCATGCTTTAGTCCCAAACCACTCAACCAAACCTCAAAAAAGCACTATATCTCAAAGGTTCCCTCCATGCATTCACAAGTTGTACAACTAGTTTTCTTCTGTTTTCTTTATTTTTATTCTTAACTATATACATTCTGTAATCGCCAGAGTCGATAATGAACGATTTTTGAAGTACACATCTAAAGATTTGATACAAAGACAATGGCCTCAATAAAAATATATTTGTGACTTCTAATTTACTGGTTATTATGCCCATCAATAAAACATCACCTCTATGAAGTGTCAAACAATTCTAAATTTAAGCTCAAATGTAATCAGGAGTAGAGTAGCACAACAGATTATAAACACATTCTATGACCAAATGTGATCGATTTAACAATTTTCTACTTACTATTGATAAGTTCGAGAAGGTTGTGATATCTTTCCTTTTTTCAAGATGAACAGCATACACAAGGTCGACACATTGCATACATTTTCTACATATGTATCTTGAAAAGATAAATAATATAAAACTACAAAGGTGTATATGAAATAACAGAAAAGGAAAATACTGATTTTCAGAGGATTCAGAGTGAAAAAATTAATAGCTTATACTGAGATAAAAAGAAAGGATGTCCATGGAATAAAATATGGGTATGTGTCCAACAAGCAAATGTCTTTCGCAGAAAAAAAATCAAGCTAAGACTTACTATAACTATTTGGTAACTGTTTATAATGAAAGATACATCTGGAATCTATACAGAGTAAGTTTTTTTCTCCCAATCTTATTGGGTTGGGAGATTAGATCTTCCAGATTGTAAATTTTTCAAACGCCCATAAATGATTTTCCAGCCCATAAATGCTATGATTATTCTTTGAAGCACATTCATTTATCCCTCATTTTTAGACACAGTCGAACTAGACAGAGTTATTGGGAATAATTTGGACAGATCAAATTTTGATCGAGAAGAATTGGGAGAAAGCTCCCAGAGTCATCATTTGCTCTCACATGTGATAAAACTGAGTTGAGGGCCTGCAAGAGCTGATATTTGCTAAAGATAACGACATTCTTAAGTAGTAGAGAGCTCTTCACTGTAAGTGAAGGGTCATTCGCGTCGGAAAGCACTCCAGCCTCCGGCCCGCCGAAGCTCGCTGTTCTTCCTGCTTGATCTGGTTCAGCTACTCTTCCACTTTCTAATGACATTTTGACAATCTTGAGATACTGTTGGATCCAAATGAACTCCTTGAACTCAGCAATGTTTTCAAAGAGGTCTGCGGTAAGAGCTCCTCCACCATTCTCCCTGGAACTATTTGTCCTCGCAGCTATGTGTGTATATATATCCGCTGTCAGATCCTCCAGCAGTAAGATCCATGTACTGATCCACAGATTTTTACATGTAGTCTTCTACATTCTCCTCATGAGAAACCTTGGTTGTCATGTTATAGCTCTTTGGCCTTGGTTGACTGATGTATTTGCATCTTATTCTGAAACCTTGTGCTCATACAGCCCTTGGGTAAACCACATTGTTTAGAACTTTTTGTCCTTTTTGTCCTTTTTGTCTACGACAGGTATGCGATCTCATCTATCTTTCTCCATCTTTCATTTTCGACTATTTGATTGAAAAAAAATATCAGATCCATGACAAGGTTAATATTTACTCCGGATGAAGCTTTATATCCAAATAGATCTTTTTTCAATTTTAGACTCAGTTCTAGTTGTATCACAAAGTACCTACCGTCTCTTGATGATTGAGTGAAGGAATTAAGTAGCAAATTTAAGTCCGAAAAAGGGTAATTTTCTCATCATGGACATGTTGATTTTTCATCTTGATGTTCGCGCTACAAATATAATCTCAAGTCAGTCAAATAACGGTCATCAAAGGTAGCAAAGATTCACATTCATTCTCAACTGATGTCTCATTTTGGTGAACTCTTCTCTGCTCCTTGACTTCTTTTGAATAGATGTGGTGAGGATTAGTTCGGTAGATCTTATACAATGTACAGGATTGTAAACAAAGCAGGGCTGTCACCATCAGCTTTTTTGCAATCAGGTTCAAATTAAAATCAGGTTCTTCAAAATCCCATGATTATTACTTGGCATGAAATCGGGTTTTAGATTAAGATTTATTAATAGTCGCGAAACCCGTTGATGGCTGCTGCAATCTTTTATTTGATAGCAAGCGAGATATGCTACTAGTGTGATTCTGAGTGTAGAAATATTGAAATGGAATTTATAGAAGAATCTTTAGCATGGCACATCTTCAATACGTAATTTCTCATGACCTGGATTTGTTCATTAAGAAGTTAACAACAGTATGTTGTGAAGGTTGAGAGGCTGATGTTTATTAAGACTGACTCTAGCTAACATTGTTAATATAATAAAGCCTCAAGTGTAAAAAAAAGAATAAGCTCGTATTTAGAGAACATTTTCTTGTAAGAACTAGTATATAGAATTTTATAATAGGCAGATAGTTATCTACGAGTAGAAAAGTGACACTGTGATATTCTTTGTATATCAGTAACAACATTTTCAAATATAGACTTTATTTATAGCAGAAATTAAAAGTCAAAAGAATACCTGGTTTCATAGCAAGAATCACTTCAAGGTTGGATTCGTTCCTCTTGACTTGCAACATCCACAGCTGCATGCAAACGAAAGACAATGGAGGATCGGATTGTCACGGAATTTCAGGAGGTTCTAAACTCCAATTCCACGGTGGCGAGTTTGAACTCGAATCAAATATTTAGAGTATTGTGATGCGCGTTTACAGGTTTATGTTCGCATTTGCAAGGTGACCATCCGAGTCATAGCAGTAGATAGAGAAATGGGACATCGGTTTTGCAACGAATAACTGTCACGAAGGAAACTCATTAACTTGCAAACTTGCAACGGGCACATACATGCAACTTGTCGTTATTGCAAGTATATAGCCGCCAGCTCGACCTGAGAATTTGTAGCCGAGCATGAGAATGTCATGGCAATGTCCCGAATCGATAAATCAATCCGTTGTTTACGCATAGTCACGACACATCTGTTGTGCAACGGCATGGCGAGAACCGTGAGAAACGTAAGTTGCGTTATTTATCCTTTGACTTGGAGTTGTTTGCATGACAAGGAATGCCTGCCAATGTATACTCTGGCTGAATTCACACAAAGACCTCGTCCGCTTACCGATTTTGGATCCAGGAGATACCAGCAGCTGAATTCACTCTGGAAGAACAACCACCCATTTCAAGTTTTCATTTGTTCAAAATATTTGAAATGTAATATTTGTTTCAGAACGATTAGTAATTCCAATGCAGCCGTAATTTAAACCAATTCATCTCAAACTAGCCATGGAGGATGAAGCGACATTTGTTTACGGCTAGTAGCTGTCAAATCGCAACGTATACTTCTTGGGCCAGATCTGGACTCCATGAAAACGGTTCAAAGAGGATATCTGACGATACTTCTTAAGGACAAATTTCAAACTCAGTTGATTTTGCGGTTGAGAGAAGGAGACGTTGGTCTGAAGCCTCGGGTGATTGCCCTAAAGAGGCAAGGTGGTGATCAATCAGTATCTTTTCGAAGATACAGCTGACATTTGCAAGTTCCATCGTTGTCTAAAGCTCAGTTTTATCAGCAAACCTTTATTTTTGCCTTTCTGCACATCAGTTCTGTCCCAAACTCAGCAGCTAACCTATATTGTCGCCTTTCTGTACATCAGTTATGTGTCGAAACCAGCAGCAAACCTATATTGTCGCCTTTCTGTACATCAGTTATGTGTTGAAATCAGCAGCAAACCTATATTGTCGCCTTTCTGTAAGTAAGTTGTGTATCAAAATCAGCAGCAGCGAGATGCCGGAGTTGGAGGCACATGCATCGACTACCTTCTGCGAGATTCATGTACTTCCTCCAGGATACATGATACTCGATGATCGAGAGTTGACCCAACCTACGCTCCTCGACCGTTACCCGCCAAGTCTCAACGTCTACCGATTCGCACTCGAATCCAACGTCTATCTAAAACTCACACCGACGTATATACACATGACAGAGAATAAAATCCTGCAATCATGAATCGTCGTGGAATCTGGCCTTCCGAGGGCTCTACTTTACACAGCCCAATTGCAACGACTCCGTGCTGACAACGTTGTGCTCTCTAGGGGCCCAGAAGCACATGTGTATGGCGGACAACGATTCCCCATTCGTGGACACTCTCCTAAGCCCCGGCTGGACCCCTCGAGCAGTCACGAGCGCAGCTGTCAGCTCCTGAATGATTCGGTCTATGTCGGTTCCCTGAACACTCCGTAACTTAAGTGTTTGGAACGGCGAGCGAAATCTTGAGGATGCAGAAGCCGGTGTCGTGTGAAGGGGATGGCGCTCAGCGTTCCCACCATAATCACGACCCCGATCGCCGTTCCGATCTCGAAGGCCAGCCAGAATGTTCCATCCAGGAGCTTGGACGACGGAGCCCTGAGTGTGGCCGAGCTTCCGCTTGCGTTGCTCGAGACACAAGTGGTCTCGAGCGGAGGCCCGCAGAGCTGATTGTTCCCGGGCTTGAAGGACGAAATGTCGTACCTCGTGGAGAAAGCATTCGCCGTGGGGATCTCGCCCTCGAGGAAGTTGTAGGAGAGGTTCAGATAGCCCAAGCTGGGCCTGGTCAGCACCGCAGGAATCTTCCTCGTGAGATAGTTGGCCGACAAATCCAGCGACTGCAGAAGCAACAGATTTCCGAACACCTGAGGGATTTCGCCCGAGAAATTATTTTGCGCCAGATTCAAGTACGTCAACCCGCGTAGCTCTTCAAGCGCGTACGGAAGCCTCCCGGAGAGCTGGTTGTATGACAGGTCGATGGAGATCAGAGTCTCGAGGACGTACTCGTACACGAGTCGCAGACCTTTGGCCTGAATGGAGATTTGCTCAAACAATTTTCTCCCCGCCCCTTCGACCTGCGTGGGGTTGTTGTTGTTGCTTACGCTGCTGCCTACCCCGGCGTCGTCTGACGATGCCTCGAGGCGACTAAAGCCTTCTAACCCCGAGAGATTGGTGGGCCAGACTCCCGTGAACGAGTTGTGCGACAAGTCGAGCACTTGCAGCTCCGGAAGCTTCCAGATCCAGCCGGGCACGCGGCCGCCGAATTTATTCGATGATAGTCTCAAAACTCGCATATCTCGCAGCACTGGCTGAGAGTACTCGTAGTTGTCAGGGAGTTCCCCTGAGAATCCATTGCTGCTCAGGTCCAGGAGCTTCAGATCCGTGCAGTTGTACACGCTGACGGGAAACCCTCCGCCCAGCTGGTTGTCGTTAATAGAGAAGCTCTCGAGGGATCGCAGCTGCAAGAAGTCAATTTGAGTCACCGTGCCCGTGAGCTTGTTCTTGCTCAGCCTGATGTTTCTCAGGGAGCTGCAGTTCGCCAGAGACGCGGGAATGGTTCCAGTGAGGTTGTTGCTGTGGAGGATGAGATACATTATCTTCTGCAATCGCCCCAGCTCTGGAGGGATTCCGCCCGTCAGAACGTTGACATGCAGGCGCAAGTACTCCAGATTCTCCAGACCTCCGAACTCCGGGGGAATTTCTCCTGTCAGAGAATTGTTGCTCAGATTGATCTGATGGATGCTCTTCAGGTCGGCCAAGCTCGTGGGTATGGGCCCCGACAGCTGGTTATTGTGCAAGAAGAGGAGCGTCAAATTTGACAGCTTGCCGAGCTCGGCAGGAATGTGTCCTCGGAAATCGTTGTCGTTCAGGAGCAAGTCCTTGAGGTCTGCCAGATCGCCCAGTGCTTTGGGGATGGGGCCGGTGAAGGCATTGGTGTCGAGATACATGTACTGCAGCAGCGGCCACTGAAGGATGACGTCGTCCGTGAGGGTGCCCGTGAAGGAATTGAGGACGAGATCGGGGGTGTGGCCTCGGAGGTTCTGCCACGTGATTTTCTTCGAGCTGTAGCTGCTGCCGAGGTTCATGTACGTGAGAAGCGAGAGGTTTCTCAGCGGGTCCAGCGTGCCCGTAAGCCTGTTGTTCGCTGCGTCCAGCAGAAAGAGCTGCGTGCAGTTGTTGAGGCTGTCGGGCAATTCCCCGTCCAGCTGGTTGCTGCGGAAGCTGAACTGTCGGAGGTTGGCCAGCTGCCCCAGGTTCTCGGGGAGGCCGCCGGTGAACTCATTGTTGAACATGTAGAACTTCGTCAGCGCCGTCATGGCCGTCACAGCTCTGGGGAAGCCACCACGAAAGTTGTTCCCGTCGATGAAGAGCTTGTTGAGCCGACTCCATGAAGTGGATTCCACTGTAAGAAAACTCCCCGTCAAGAAGTTGGTCCCCACGTTCAAGAACTCGAGCTTCGACAGCGATGCCAGCTCCACGGGGAACTCTCGCTCGAGGGCATTGTTTCCCAAGTGCAGGAACTTGATCTTCGTCAGGTTGCCCAGCTCGGATGGGATGGAGCCTGTGAAATTGTTCTGCTCGAAGCTCAGATACTCCAGATTGACGAGCTGGCCGTACTCTCTCGGAATGGGACCCGTCAGATGGTTGTTGCCGAAGAAATCCAAGTACCACAGCTTCGTGCAGTTGGCGATGGACTTGGGAATGGGACCTCTCATCTTGTTCGACCGGTAAGGGTAGTACTCCTGCTTGGCGTCGAAATTGAAGAGCGTGCCCAGGGCCAGAACCTCGAGCTCAGAGAGCAGACCCAGCTCCTCCGGAATGGACCCATTGAAAAACCAGCCCTGCACTCCGATGTAGAGGACCCTTAAGCTGGACATGTTGCCGTACTCTGCAGGAACTCCACCGAAGAGAAAATTGTCATGGATGTTCAAGGTCTGCAGCCTCTGCAGCCGGCCCCATTCCACGGGCAGCTCGCTCAACAGGAAATTGTGGCTCAGATCGAGGTCCTCAAGGTATTCGAGCTTGCCCAACGAAGGACCCAAAGTGCCGTTCATCTTCAACCGGGAGAAGTTGAGGGAGATCACGTGCAGCTCATCGTCGCAGATGACCCTCATCCACGAGCAGTAGGTGGAGCGATTCCCCGTTGTCCATCCATCCAAAGCGTTGTCCGTGTAGTTTTCGATTTCGGCCTTGAATTGCAGGAGCGCATCGGCCTCCCTGGGACAGTGGCAACACATTGGACTCGTATGGCGTTAGATATGAAATCACTCATGCTCATGCGCATTGCTGTGCACATGCTCGGACGAAGGACACAAGCGACAGGTGCAGAATTGTGCACTTCTCTATCAGATGATATCTTGCTGCTAAAGGTCACTGACCCGAAGCTGTCTTGGAGCAAAGTGCGAGATATTCCTCGGGAGTGTGCAGATTCCTCCTGAAAACGATGAAGAGGCTCATGACGATTCGTTAACGAAGTGTCGACGGCTTGGTCCTGAAGTCTAGACTGCTGCAGCCTTCGCTGGCTCGTGGGACCGCGGTGTGCTTGTTGCTGGCCCATATGCGTTCCAACGGAGGCCGCCGGAGGGAGCACACTCTCGATGTTGATGCTGCCATGCTCTTTCCCGGCTGATTCTGCACGTGCATCGAAATCTGGATCCTGGAGAGTCTCAACAAGAGTCTCGATTCTGGTTACTTTTCTGAAGGTGGTATCCTCTTGACCAACGGTGCAAGCACCGAGCTGGAGGCAACATAGCACCAGAATCAACAGCATCCTGAAGCGTTCGCGGAGAGCGGGCAGATCAGGAGAGGAAACGACCGATGCCCGACCTGTAGAGCGTCTGAGGAAGTGCATGGTGTCCACCTCCAGAGAAATAGAAAACTCAATTCTCCATGTACTCCTCAATCTCCATGCATCGTGGAATTGCGAGACAGCTAGCTAACCCAGCAGTGAACGACGCAGAGATCTACGTGATTCCCAAAAAGTTAAGCCGGTCCACACTGATCTTCATCCTCTAAACTAGGACGACTAGATCGCTAGATTACCAGCCCGGCGTCTCCTGTGACTTTGAGCTCCTCCAATTCGCTAAAATACCGGCCGTGGTGAGAAAAGATTCGTACCAGAGGGCGTTTGACTTCTATATCCTGGAGAAGGAAGAGAGAGAGAGAGAAAAGAGAGAAAGAGAAAGAATGGTCCTGCGTCTCATGAATGGATGGATGGATGGAAGGATTTCTTAAGAGGATGATGGTGGTCCTGATCACGGCAGCAGTGAGCGCAGATCTCTTTTCTGGTGCAACTTTGGGTATCTTCCGTACGCAGACGTCTTGAGCTTCTCGTTCTTCGAGTTCGTTGACTTCAGTGGCAAGGAAAGCTTAAAACTAATGGTTCATATGAATAGTTACAGTTACAAAACGTGGTATAGCTTGGTTTGCGGTCTTTGTTGAGATGCTCACTTTCTGTTGGACGATGGATGCGGCTTGTGGACATGTTGCATCACAGAACGTTTCTGCTAGCTGTAACTGCGCTTCAGAAAGAACAACTGCCACCGCTAGCACAAGCAAGAGGAGCGATGTCAGACTGGTTGAAGCCATTGTAGCTAGAACAATGCCAACTGCACTCCTCCCAGGTAGTTCGGGCCTTGTCATCAAGTGGACGATCTCGACCTCGTACCCAGTCGAAGGCAGTCCAATCACGCAAGTCGATCAGACCCACCTTCCTGCGCAATGCCATGATTTGGGATTCAGAGAAAAAAAGACGATTCGATGTGCACGCTGGACAGCATATAGCTAAGACCTGACACGGATAAAGAATCACAAGAGAAGTCAACGTTTGAGACTTGCTAAGCTAAAAGGATCCTTAAGCAGCCTATACGTATGAGCAAAACAACGAGATAAAACTCACGAACTGAATTGAGGTCAAAGATCAGATGGAGCTTGTCCAACTTGTGATTAGTCATTCCTTTCGATGGTCTTTTATATCTGAGTTAAGATTGCAAGTGGTCCCAATAATCTCCTCCACGCTGTGCTTGTTCTTTCCAGATACTACAAAAATTGAATTATCTAAATACTGCAAGCTGGCCATGACTGAATGTAATGACGCTTATCATATAATATGGGACCTGATAGTGCAGTCATGGAAGCTTGGTGTCGTCGTAGGTATTATATGTGATCAAAATTCGCGCAAAATTTGTCTTACAGATCCTGGAAGAGTAAATTAACCACCTTGTGTGCTCCCTTCTCAGAAAGCAACGCACGATCCCTTAGCAATGGAGCGGAGAGATGTAATGGCATTCATAATTTTGGTACCAAGGAATGATTAAGAACTTATAAGATCGATTTTTTGACTATTCAAATATTCAAGCTCACGAGTACGCAAAATGACGTCGGAAACCGCAGAACACATCACGGAATAGAGTAAATATGTTCAGAAACATCGGACTTGAGTGTTCATGTTCACCTTGCTCCGCGGTTATTGTAAGAAACTTCCAAGAAGGTCGAGATAAGAAGGTCGTTTTGGTGGAATGCAAGCGCCTCCTGCTTTCTTCCGCATTCATGTTTTGGATTTGTCTTGCCGTTTAATGCGTTTCATAATCTGCTGCTGAATGCAATCCATGTTAAGGCATTCAGGATGACTGCCTATTTCCTTTCCTATAAGATGGCAAGTTTGGATCTCAAATTTGTTTGTCATCTAGTAATAATCTGTTCTTCTCCACATATTGACTCCAAATGTCCGAAATAATATTTCTGAATATTTACTATCATAATTGGCAAATGTATGTGTATGTTTAGTGCTACATATATCAGTTATTTTTTACTGAATTGTTGAGAAGAAAATTCAATTGCTTACTTTAGATATTGTGAATGTCCTCCGCTCTTACATTTTATATTATAATTCTCCGAGAAGGTAGTTTTCATCACGACCTGGTGTACTAGGATGTGGATTTCTTGATGCTGTCTCCTTGGACAAATCTGTTGAGCTTCGAGGTCGAACGCTTCTTCCGAGTCTTGAAGATCCTTCAGTTCATGCAAACCCTTACTTGCTCACAGGAACTGTTTACATTGCAAGATGTCGTCACTTGTTGATCAGAATTTCAGTTTAGAACCAAAGTGTTACTCACCGTGTATGATTCTCTAAAGCTTGTTCTGTTTTCTGCAGGAGAATTTGAGTGCTATGGCACGGTTCACATTAGCAGGTCGTTGCTGACCCCGTGCAACTTAGTGCTGGCTGCGATCATGATCTGGCTGATGCCGCTGAGAATCGTTCTTCTGTACTGAACGCGATGACTGGTAATCTTGCGGACAACGAGGTCCTCCTATGATGCTCTTGTATACCAGCCCATGAGTCCTGGAGCGCGATATCACGATGTACTCCAGGACTCCTGGGCTGTTATTTAAGTATAACATGAGAGCGGTCCTTTGGTGCTTCAAGGGGCGGTCGAAGACGAAATTCAAGTTCGAGACATTTTACTTGTATTACGCCGTGGAACCCACCTTCGTTTGGACAAATACGCTTCTACAATGTGAGTTGCTTTAAAAGAGATGGTTAATGTGCCAATTGGATGTGATATTAACTACTTTTAAACTATATTGATCCCACGGTCAGTTTGGACTGTTCTTCGGTGATCGTGAGTTGAATTTACTTAAATAGTTTTTTTAGGGTTTTGGTTTTGTTTTCACTAAAATATTTAGTGACAGGATGATGCTTATCGCGCTCAATATTTGTTTTGTGGTTCCGTGAGTTTATGTTCAGTTAGTCTCGTAAATGTTCTCTACATTTTATAAATTATAATCTATATTAAACTATGAATTTAATGATCTGTAGAATACAAATCATGTACAATATTCAATCATAACATAATTACTCAATAAAACATATATACAAAATGTATTTACAAGGGGTTACGTGGAACAAACGGGACGTGGCATCTACTCAAAGCTCTGAGCCTTTATATTCCAATGAGGCTTGTCCAATTTGGAGACAAAAGCTTCCAAGGGAAGTATGAAATCTTGCAATCATGAATCGTTGTGGAATCTGGCCTTCCGAGGGTTCTAATTTATACAGTTCAATTGGAACAACTCCGTGCAGACAACGCTCTGCTATCTAGAGGCCCAGAAGCACATTTGTATGGCGCACAATGATTCCCTAGAAAATTCCCATAATGGACCCGAGAAAACCCCCTTGATCAACTGCTTTACCTATGGGACCCAAATGGTTTCATTTTATCCGATGGTACCCTCTCGACGGCATCGTCGTACATGTTCCAATACGATATAGGATTATTTCGTGTAGAGATTCGCGAAATAATCCCATATCGTATTGGAACATTTTATTTATTTTCCGGATGCAGTTATGACAAGACCCTATAGAGAGTACTTCAGAATCATTGTGCCTTTTGCCCGAACTCGTATTTCTGATACTAGTTCGCAGTGTGTATTGGAGATGAAGTCCGACGGAAGCATTTCGTGACGGTCGAGGGCCAGATTTTGCAGGTTTCGCTCGGCTGGTTTTGAGTCTACCAAAGCAATCGAACACACTGAATGCTGCGATGTTCCGATAAATTCCTGCCGCCGTACCTTCTCTCGATGCCGATCCGAATGTCCGCGTGCGTATGGAGGCATTTCTGCGCATGAATCGACTTGCAGTTTTGATCCACCGATTCTCTACCGTCCTCTTCTCCTCGTGGTGCCGGTCCTCTAGGGGTTGAGAGAGAGAGGCTCAGAAGGCTCGTCAAGTGGCTGCAAGAGGCTTTCACCTCTTTCTAGCATTGTAAAAGTCGTTTCTGCCAAATTACTCTCGCGGGACATAGTATTCACAGAAACTCTTCACAGTATAATGTAAAGTATCAGGTTATAAGAATTGTTATTGTAACAGTGATGACATGCATTGCCGTCAAGTGTGATACTATCAAGTAAAATGAAACGTGGTGGGTCCAATCCAGTGATTTGAGTCTCCCGCGGTCCCATCAAGTAATTACAATGAAGATTCTCCAATCTGGAGACAAAAGCTTCCTAGGGGAGTAATCCTGCAATCATGAATCGTCGTGGAATCTGGCTCTACTTTACACAGTCCAATTGGAACAACGCTGTGCTATCTAGAGACCCAGCAGCAGTAGCACATGTGTATGGCGGACAACGAGTCCCCATTCATGCGGAATCTCGTAAGCCCCGGCTAGACCCCGGGGTCCAGCCGGGTGCAAAGCGAGCAGTCGCGCACGCAGCAGTCAGCTGCTGCGTTCGTTGAACACTCCGTATCTACAGTCATTGAAATGGCGAGCGAAATTTTGAGCTTGCAGTAACCAGTGTCGTGCGCAGGGTATTGTTTTCAGCGTTCCGATCACGACCCCGATCGGAATTCCGATTTCGAAGACCCGCCACAATGTACCATCCAGGAGCTCGAACGACGGATCCCCGAGTATGGCCGAGCTTCCGCTTGCGTTGCTGTCTTGCGCCGCACAAGTGGTCTCGAGCGGGGCCCGCAGAGCTGATCGTTCCCGGGCTTGAAGGATAAAATGTCGTACCTCGTGGAGAAAGCATTCGCCGTGGGGATCTCGTCCTCGTGGAAGTTGTAGGAGAGATTCAGAAAGCTCAACCTGGGCCTGCTCAGCACCGCAGGAATCTTCCCCGTGAGATAGTTGGCTGACAAATTCAGCGAGTGGAGACGCAGCAGATCTCCAAAAACCTGAGGGATTTCGCCCGAGAAATTATTGTACGTCAGCCCGCGCAGCTCTCCAAGCGCGTACGGGAGCCTCACGGAGAGCTGGTTGTATGACAGGTCGATGGAGAATAGAGTCTCGAGGACGTACTCGAGTTCGAGTCGCGAACCTTTGGCCTCAATGGACATTTGCTCGAGCAATT